AACTTTTATGTCTGGTGTGACCTGGTCAGTGTTTGAACCCACGACCTCCCGCACTCGAGGCGAGCACGCTACAACGAGACCACCAACTCCTAAAATGTGTAAATGCCCTTGAATGATTATTTTACCCAAATTGTGTTTTAAAGAAACCTAAAGTAGATACAGAGAAACTATATACTACATAAATGATAAACAAAATAAGATCTTCATATAAGTCAACATAACGCAATCATCAGTCAACGCCCATAACTTCGCATTTTTGTTCGTTTTTTCTTATTATCTTGAAAACTAAAATGTATAAACAGTACCTAGGTCCGGCATAAATGATTAGCAAGACCAAATTTTGGCCTACACAGTTTCCATTCAACACAAATATACATGTTATTATTGAATTGTATTTTATGCAAAAATAAAAGGTGAAAAATAACCGTAACGGCTCCTTGGATCCTCTTGTTCTTAAATTTCACAAAAAGCACTTATAGGTACATATTTTAGATTAATTTGGATGACTTTTTATGAATTGAAATAACTATTTAAAATTACATATAAATTTTAGTTTACATGGTACATTACGTAACTAACAGCTATTTCCAAATTGAACGTTAATTGCACAACCGAGTTAAACGTTTCAGAATCTAAAGGATTGTGGTTAATTTCATTGTCGTACTAAAAAATGAAAATAACGTCACGTCATTGGTTGAATTAACATTGTTTAAAACGCTGTAAGCCAATTATAATCTTTCTGAGTACTCTTCTGAAAATACTAACCAGAACTCATGAAATTCTGAAACGGCGAAGTATGATAATAGAAGATTTGTCTGCTAACTTTTGGAAATTATATTGCACATTATTATCAAGGAAACAATGTTTATCGTTATGCATAATAAATTTGATTGATATATATGTCGTTTTAATAAAAAGTCGAATTTTAAATTTGCAAAATTGAATTAAATTTACTAGTTTAAACCTCCTTCTTGATAAGCAAATCAAAACAAACAATACTTTTGGAACATTTTATTAAAAAAAATGCAATTTTATTCATGTCATACAAGAATATATTGAAACATTGTTTGATAGGTGGTGCAATATTTTTATACAGAAAAACACTTTTTTACTGAGTTTCAACGTGTAAGTCAATACCTATATTTTGCCTTTCAAAAGAAACCAGTGTCGTCTTATGATTTACATACCAAAACCAATTGTCCTAAATACACTGAAAAGAGGACAGACAATACAGATGAGTACCAACCTGACACGTGTTTGCTCCTATGCGGTCGTGTACTTGGTTGAAAGACAGAAAGTACTAACTTAAAGTAAACTTAAACGTTTTAGATAAAGATTATCCACCAGTTTACATATACTATTTTTGACAAAAACAGATGTTCCAACATCCATAGGCCAATTAAACATTAAAATCCAATGCAAATTAATATTGGACAAATTAAAAAATAATCAAACCCTCGCCATTTTAACAAGCTTTTGTTATATTTACTTGAAGTTTATAATATATCAATACGTCACAAGGGTTTAGTGCGTGGGTTTTACCTGCTGATTCTTAAATAACATAAGTTGAATAAATACATTTAAATCAATTTAAGATGTCATATTGTACTTGTGATAAATGAGAAATATCTAAATGAGTCATGATTTTACCATTAAACATTTATATGGGTCATTTTTTTTCCCAAAAACTTCAATATATGAACGGTGGTGATTTTAAAATCCCAGTTGCACGGCTGTACCCAAACTCATTTTTGAGAACCCCCCTAGTGCAATACGTGCGAAACTTACGATAATAATTATAGTATTTACTTTAAACGGACATAAAATACACTCACAAAAACACACGTCCGTAAACTTTTAAAATATGTAACGTATACGACGCCATTTTTAAAAACAAAAATATTCTTGTTTCATAGTTTTATCTACCAAACTACACACTATATAATGTTTGAACCAAAAAACAACAAAAAAATGATTTAGAATATACATATGACTTTCGTTCAAACACATGCTAAAAATTCAAAATTTTAATCCAAAAGATATTGTGTTTTTTTTGTTTTTTTTTTAATTTGTTTTTTACTTAAGAAATCCAAAACAAACCAGAAAACGGACGGAAAACAAGACAATCAAGTTGGCCTAACTATGTACTTACATGTGAAGTAGTTGTATTCTATAAAGTTAAAATGTAACAAAAATAATAAAACAAAACTTTAAAACTAAAAAAAAAACCTACGTCTTCGGGATAGGTCTTACATTTTTCAGCTCTTTTATCAAAGTTATCCTGGTTTAAACTTTAAAAAGTCAGAATGTAATCTATATAACCTATTAATTTTAGACCTGACAAAGCTTCACCTTAAATGTAAACAATAAACTAATCATTTACATCAAATTCTTATCATTTCCCAAACCCACAAATGTCAAACTGTTACTTCTTTTATTTTTTAATAGTGTATTAGTCAATACCGACCAAAACTGAGACATACAGCAACATGAACCAAAGACACCCGGGTCTTTAATGTGCAAAAGTACGGACCAGAATTGGAGATGAAGGCAAAACGCTGTCATTGTAATCTAAAATTTGTACAAGGGAATATTCCGTTTTGATAATCCGAGATAACTTCTGACACAAAAGATAAAGCTCTATTTTTACAGGTAAATAAAAGTTGTAAGGTCACTCCTATCATGTAGGATAATAGCAGGAAGAAAACGGACAAGTACACAATTTTGACTCCTTGTGTGACCCCTTATATTAAACTATTAATGTCATTGAAACGTAATGATAAAAGGGTTAATACTAAATCTCTATATTTCCAAATGCTGAAAAATTGTCTCTGTGCCTGTCAATGACAAATCTTTATATTTTTTCTGTTGTTCTCAAATGACCTTTAATGAGGGTGTGGTAGGTAGTTTACAGAGAAGAGAATAATGGGCAAAAAATATAAAGAATAGAGAAAAATGGACCAAAAAAATAAAGAATTCAGAATAATGAGGTGCAAAAATATAAAGAATAGAGAAAAATGGGCAAAAAGTATAAAGAATACAGAAAAATGGCCTAAAAAACTAAAAAATACAGTAATAAAGCCCCCCCCCCCCCCCCAAAAAAAAAAAAAATCCAGACCTCTTTAATGTTCAAGTTTCTTCAAACATGTTCCAGGAGTCCTACTGGAAGTAGAAATAAAATATGGTTACATTCTGATATTCATGTCTTATGGGAATATCTCAATAATGATTTAATAAAGACTATTTACAATATTATATGACTGTGTTAAGTAAACAATAAATCACTATAATCAGTCGTTTTGACGTTTTCTAAACAAACATCCATAAATTGAACTAAACACGCATCCTACACAAACATCCATCAATTGCACTTAGTATTTGTATTAAAGAATTGGGGAGGGGGGGGGGGGGGGACACAACCTTACATTCTGTCTCAATTAAATGTTGGAATAATGCATTCATTTTTACTTTTTCACAATTGGCCACATTTAAAGTTTAGAAGATATATCTGTCTAAATGCTGCTTAATGTTTTGTGTGTTATCTTGATGAAAATTGATTAACAAATGAAATGACGTTTATAAGAGAAAAGTCGTATAAATCTAATTCATTATTTTGATCAATACACTTGTCTTACAACCGCAATGTATTTTTTATTGATCGAAAGACAATACTTTAGTGTTAAAGCAAGTTTCATATCGTGCATCGTGGTTGACCAATGACCAGAACTCTAAAAAATAAACTTGCTTTTAAATTAGCTTGATATTTGTCATATTATAATAACTTAATATACTATGATCGCAGACCACTTTTGGCTCTAAATTTGATTTTGTGTTCATACTGACCAAAACTTGTATCATTGATAGATAACATTGTAAATAAACTAACTAGTAAATAAATATGTAAAGAGAAATCTTACCTGATACCAAGTATACCAATATGTTGATAATTTTAGAAGTATTCAGGTTATTTCCTTAAAGTATTTTCACGCATGTCAAAAAATGTCCTTTAAAGTATTACTATTTGTTATCTTGTGCAGGACGCCTTGCAGAAAGTCTTGTTTTGGCAACATTGAATGTTTGTCTCAGATAAGATATCAAATCCGATGACATTTAATAAATCTGAATATAATTTGAAATAGATATGGAGTTTATTGATAAAAAATGGAATTTCCGCAATGTTAAAAGATTAAAGTGAATGGTTCTTATATATATATTTACTTTTTTCAAGGGGAAGGGGGTAGAAGTGCTTCCTGTCTTCATGTTTACAAGACATATTATGTTTCTGTAATTGCAGGGTAAAAAATCAAAGTAAAAAAAACAACAGTTTTTTGTTCCGTTTAGGAATAATTGAGAAGCTTTGTGTAAAAAAAAGTTAAACAAAAAGATTCGGAGTTTTTAATCAAAACGTAACACATCTTAAAGCCCCCGCCCCGCCCACCTGAAAAATGTAATAAAAACAAGAAGTAAAAAAATCCTGCAAATACACAAAAACACACAAAAAAAGAATAACAAAGAGCAGGAAAATAAAACGTATGTTTGGACATTTGAAGTAAGATAGCCAACTTTAATTTTCTTGTTTTTCCATGAAATTTTGATAACTAGCAACATGTCTATAGTTATTGAGAAATGATGTAATTCTTATTCTCAGTTACGGATAATAACCACGTGACTGTTTGTTAATTTCAATTTTATAACATGTAACGTCACAACATGCTCTCAACGCTGGACTTTTGTAAAACAAACATAAAGATGAAAAATATTCTACAATATAAAAATTATAAGATATAAGTAATACATTATAGAACCATATAGCTATAATGAGGTGTTATTATCGGAATCTACGAAAATTTTATCAAATTCAATAAAAATAAAACAACAAACAAGATGTGTCAGGGCCACACAATTTTCACCATTTGGTGCCTAATCAAATGGACCGGGTTCTGTAATAAGCGTGGGTTATTTGAAAGGAAACGCCTCGAGGGAAACGCAAACGAACTCGATCTGATACGCATCTTTTATTCAGCTCTATAACTAAAAGCAAAATGCAAAACAAACCAACTCGAACAGTTATAGATGTCGGAATTTGTATATGCCCCTAGTCAGTGACTGAGATGAAGATAAAAAGTAAACGTGACAGCTAAATATGATGAACCTTTTTGATAGAGATAGACTTCTATAGATTTTAACTAAGAGACTACGATTGTATAGGGACCTTATATATACAATTATGAATTAATGTAACCAATAAAATATAGTAATGCATTTTAACAATATGTACATAATTAAAATGTCTTTAAACGTTAAGGTTTTTTTTCACATTCAGTAATTAAAGACATTTTGAATTACAATCATCTGATGTCACATCTGGTGCTATAATAAAGTAGATGATGAGGACTAATGAGGGTGTGGATGGGGTTTTACAGAGTAGAAAATAATGGGCAAAAAATAAAAAGAATAGAGAATATTGCACCAGAATAATGAGGTGCTAAATTATAAAGATTAGAGAATAATGGGCAAAAGGTATTAAGAATAGAGAAAAATGGCCTAAAAAATAAAAGAATACAAAAATGAAAGACCCTCCATCCAGATCCTCACTGACGTGTTAATTGTCAAACCATACACCACAACACAGCGAGTGTGATTCTTTTACAGTTGGTGTAACAGCAAGTTCATACCCATTATATACACAGCAAACTTTAAGGATGCACAGTCTGAAAAAGGTATACATGTATGTCAATTATAATTGATATGTTAAAAACATATATTATATTTACTATTAACTCACTTGAATAAAGATCTTTATTTGTTGATATTCAAAACATGCTAATCAATAAATGATTCATAATAAAAGGATAATATTAATAATATCCTGTTCGATTTTTTTTCATTTTTGTATTATTCAAGCTAGAATCAATACTACACAAAGTATACATTTTCTTTAAACCCTCTGTTAGATGAGACAGTTAACTCTTTATGTTCAAAGCACACGTTTCTAACTGTTCCATTATTTTCTAAAGGGCTAAACAATACACGAATTATCTTGTTGCAGCAATGGTATTGCGTTCAATGCTAATATTATTTTACGTTGCTTACATTCGCATGTACACATATTAAGTATTTTTTTAATCTCCACCGAACTGCTGAATGTGTAAATAGTCATACCAATAGAGGACAAATACAGATTGACTACTCAATACAGGTATGACAATTATACTTCTCTAATCCTTACACACAAACAAATTAAAACCCGTATTGGCAATTTCGAAAACTTAATTCAAACGTTGAACAGCTGCTAAATCCAAAAGGTACCAAAAGTAAAGCCAAACCGGACAGAGAATCAAAGCTATGCATGCGGGAGATACATTCCTTAATTTAAATAAAACAATGCCCGTATTTGCATGCCAATACCGAAGTACTGGCTACTTGGCTGTGAGGCCATTGGAGAATGACAGTCCACCAGCAAACATGTAGGTATCGACCCAGTGGTACAACCCAGACAATTTAAAAAAAAACACCAAAAACTGACAACTTAAGGAAATATAAATGTTTCTTACCAATATTGTTTCCAGCGTTGACGGAACCTGAAACAACATCAAAAAGTCGTGATTCAAATATGTAAAAAGAGAAACACATACTCCATTAATTAGAAGCTTAAGGCCACAGTTAGATTTAATCTTCTTAATACATCTTTAATGATACAGATATGGAATTGCATAAACAACACAAAGGGCCAAATATGGTGCAGAATCTTATTACACTTTCGGAGCACCGGGGTTCATTTCGGGACCGGTTTTCGGTGGAGTTCGTGTAACTCAGTGATTAGTCTTCTTTGCAGTGTTTTATGGACTTTTTCGTCTTTTCGTCGTTTTTCGTTTGTCACTTTTTTTTCTACTAATGCCTTTTGAATGTCCCCTTGGAATCTTCCAAATCGTTTTTATCATCGATTTCCTATTGAAGAAAAGTGTAAGATATAAATCTTTACTGCTTATTACTCAAAACACAATATATATTACCAAAATAAAACGTTATATATACATGTAAAAAATGATACATAAATAAATTTAAATAGATAAATACATATTATTACTTTTTATTAGTATGCATCATTATTGTTAAATTTTTCGAAAGAAGATGGGGAGAAGAATTTGTGTATGTCTCTCAGAATTATGATTTTCTTCACAATTTAAGCAAGAAAACTATTTACTGGGTAATAAACTTTGAGTTATACACATGTATTATATATAATATTAGTACTGTCTCTGTAAAGATATGCAATCGGTCTTTGCATCGGAAATAAACACATTTATTCTAAAACCAGTTGTTGGCATGATACGGGGGACATTATGGGCGCCGCCATTTTTTCCCAGAATTCCCTGTTTTTATATGATGACGTCACCTCCGGATTGGGGCCATAGTCAGGTACTATTACTTTACATTAGCTAGAGGTATAGGGTGAGGGTTGAGATCTCACAAAACATGTTTAACCCCGCCGCATTTTTGCGCCTGTCCCAAGTCAGGAGCCTCTGGCCTTTGTTAGTCTTGTATGTTTTTTAATTTTAGTTCATTTATATGTTTTGGAGTTTAGTGTGACGTCCATTTTCACTGAACTAGTACATAATTTTATTTAGGGTCCAGCTGAGGACCACCTCCGGTTGCGGGATTTTCTCGCTGCTTTGAAGACCCATTGGTGGCCTTCGGCTGTTGTCTGCTCATTGGTCGGGTTGTTGTCTCTTTGACATATTCCCCATTTCCATTCTCAATTTTAATCGTTATTTTCTGACCTATTTGTCGATTACGTACTTTTTATGTTGATTGTGTTTTGAATAGCTCTGTAGTTAGTCTCATGTTCTCGTTAATTCTATACTTGAAGTACCAAAATCATACTTTGCAATATATACACAAAAAAACCGGAAACTATAATAATTCTACTTTTATTCAAGGAAATAATGTGCTTCTATGTTGCGACTTAATTACAAAGTTAATACCTTATTTTATTTAAATATTACGTTGCCAATATATGGCCTTTGTGTGTTGAAGTGGCTTATTAAAAGCAAGCACCAATCAATCAATCAATCAACCAAAAATAGGTGCGCTCGACTACAATTTCAATTGACAAGGATTGTCAGTTTTCCTACCTCACGGTCGGAGGTTCTCTCCGAGCACTCCGGCTTCCTCCAACCAATTAAGCGGACCCCCAAGAAATAGAACAATAGTGCTGGAAGTGGTGTTAAACACCAATCAATCAATCTATCAATCTAATTACGAGCGTCTCCTAGGTTAGCAGGATCATAAGGTATTTATGTTTAAGTTTTCTACTAGTGTGCTATCAGTACGCTCAGCACTTTTTGACATCATTTACCCACAAGAAGGTTACTAGTATTTTATTTGTTGGAAATTATAAAATAAGGCTTTAAGATAAAAGAAACATAATTTCTAGTTTACGGAGACAGCTCAAAACGATTGTTCACTTAAATTTATCAAGTGATTCACTAAATTCCTGTACTACACATACCTGTTACCTCAATATACGCCTGTTCCTCCAGCTTTGATCCATCTGAAAGTTCCAAAGTGCCTTTATATATACCAGTATCTGTATAAATAACCTTATCTTTCGGTATTTGGATATCCATAACCTTTGCACATGGTCCCTCCAATACTTCTGAACAGGATCGTTCTTGCATCTTACTATCTTTCCACGTTATGCTGTTGAAATCTGTTTCTAGGATGTCAACAAAAGCCGATGTAGTGTTTCTTTGTACAATCAATCTGTTGACCGTGGCTGTTTTTGAACTTTGCACTGACCGGAACTGGATATATAGATAATCCTGTCCATACGTTATTTTTTTTGTCGAAAATATCTTTAAATCAGAGGCCACTGAAACACGACAATGGATATAAATACAATTTGATAATAGAGAAACTGAATTTAAAATTGCCAGTAAGGTTAAATTGTACGTACACTTGTATTGAATGACTGACTGAGCCTTTGAGAAAGTCACTTACAGTTCTGCACGGAATTTTTTGTGTTGTGCAAACGAGTGGCTATTCTTAAGATGACTCCAGCCAGTGTTTGCAAAGAGACAGGGTCAGTTTCTCTGAATTTATTTCACATTTTGTCCACTTTGCTAATATTTCTATCATACTAAAACTCAAGTCATCACAAATAAGACTTTTTTCAAATTTTTTTTTAGAACAAACACTGGAGAAACTGATCAATGTTCTTTTATTAAGATAATTATTTAAATTGAACCGGTATATGTTATAGAACACATCATTATATCTATAGAATAAAAATAACATAAAAACCCCGAATAGGCCAAATTCGACATATTGAAGACAAAAAATTCCAAACCGATTAAAATAAAGGAATAAAGAACACATATAATAAAGGCAGCAAATAAATAGCAACGATGCTTGGCTTTCGGCGGTACTATAAGCTGTGACCGGTAGTCGATACGTGTATCTAAAGATCAGTGAAAAAAATTACAAGAAATATGAAGAAAAATTATAACACTAAATAAAGATTTACATGACTGTATCTATGCTCCTTTTATGGAGATCAAGACTAAAGAAATATTTGTATGGGTATTGGAAAATTTCTCAATTGGGTAGAAGAATGCTAGAGAGCTCATCAATGCATTGTGCAAGTAAAACAATCATTTTTCTTTTTAACAAACACAGAATTGTTATCTTCTCTTTTGAAGATGTCGTAGAAGTCTATTGAAAGATGTGGCTAAACGAAATGTATATAATATATTATATTGAAGTACAAAATCGACAAATTGTATTACCATATATACATTGTAATGACTAGTGGAAAGAGTACGGAAATTTATGTCAGACAATCTATAGCACAATGATTCTCTTGCCGGACAATCTATAGCACAATTGTTCTCTTGCCAGACAATCTATAGCACAATGGTTCTCTTGCCAGACAATCTATAGCACATTATCGCACCGCGGGTAAATTATCACGTTGTGATTGGTTTAACTCCGTCACGTGGTGACCCCCTATGGATCCGTAGGGGGTTAGTAAATTCCATAGTGGGTTCATGACGTCACGTCTACTGTTAATGGTGACGTCATCTATTGATGTTTTTGTATTTCATTGTTTGTTTTTCTACAAAACGCTGCAGAAAAAGTATCGCGTGCGATAAATTCGTTATACAGTTAACTACTGACCCCCTACGGACCATAGAGGGTGAATAAAATCCATAGGAGATTCGGCCTCATGGCCTCACCCCTATGGATTTTACTAACCCTCTATGGATCCGTAGGGGGTCAGTAGCGAACCATATAACTTATAATAGTTCTCTTGCCAGATAATCTATAACACAATGGTTCTCTTGCCAGATAATCTATAACACAATGGTTCTCTTGCCGGACAATCTATAGCACACTGGTTTTGTTGCCGGACAATCTATAGCGCAATGGTTCTCTTGCCAGACAATCTATAGCACAATGGTTCTCTTGCCGGACAATCTATAGCACACTGGTTTTGTTGCAGGACAATCTATAGCACAATGGTTCTGTTGCCGGACAATCTATAGCACAATGGTTCTCTTGCCGGACAATCTATAGCACACTGGTTCTCTTGCCGGACAATCTATAGAACACTGGTTCTCTTGCCGGACAATCTATAGCACAATGGTTCTCTTTCCGGACAATCTATAGCGCAATGGTTCTCTTGCCGGACAATCTATAGCACACTGGTTCTGTTAAGAAGTTCGATTCAACTAGATATATAACAGCTTAAATCAGTTACCGATAAAAATGTTAACCTTGTTCAGTAACAGCATATCATATATACTAGTATCACATAGAATTTCGAAAAAAACGCGTTTTGTATGGAACCTATATTTCAGCTTTTAACCGATTAGAATCTAATTTCATACTGTAATAAAAAGAATTAATTTTAAAATTTCATAATAATTATTAGTTATGAAATTAAAAATCAACAACCCACCCCCATCTTAGTGAAATAATCTTGCACTACTTTTCCTTGTTTTGTTTTAATGCTACACTTGTTACCGTTTTTATTATAATTATCCACTGACACAATAGTATCAATACGATATAGAATGAGTATTAAATTCTGCCGGTCTGGTTTGAATTTTTTTAACAGTAATAATACATTGAATTGAGCATAGAAGTACACGTTCAACTTCAGACCATGGAAGTAATGTATATATACATGTAATACACCAATGTTCATACCAATTTCATAACTTACGATTATATTCACAGATAAGAAAGATGTAATTAAACCATAATATTTTGTCATCGGATAAATATCTGCATGATGCAGAAAATTAAAACTGACAGGTGAAATTATCAAAAGGAAAATGTAAATTGTATACATACGCTGAAGGCCAATGGCGTGTTAGCGCTATCAAACGAGAAAATAAGAAAACCAGTGGTATCCACATTTTGGTCACGTACACGAGTGGAATTCAAATTGCCTTCATCAGTAAAAGAGTAATGTGAATGCTCAGAAAAAACACGTTATGTCTGTTTTTCATTAGATTTTTAAGCATAAGTTCTTTTGAATAAAGGGGTACATGTATGTGTGGTAATGGTCTTAACTGGCCCTCAATACCAAGTCCATTACAATGCATTACGTTATATAGTTATTGACCAAGCAAGTCGGTATATGTCATTTAATCTGCACGGCTCGGGTGACCCTACTTGACCCAAACGACTTAGGAGTCCGGGTTAATGGGTCATCCCGACCGTACAGATTAAATGACATATACCGATTTGATTGGTCAATAACTGTTTTAACACATGACACCATCAACTTACATAAACGTTTTGGAAATATTCGGACGATATTCAATCCCTGGCTTCTGGGAAAGTTTGTTTGTGGGATAAGGAAAGGAGAAAATACGCATTTTAGTAGTAAAATGTTGGTAACTTTTAAACTATAACTTTTTTGATATTCAGGCTTTCTCCTATATTGTTACAGTATTTGGAGAATTGTCTCTTTGATTGTTTCTTCAACTTACTAGTTTATTTTTGTCTGTTTTGGCACATACATGAATATAAATCTGTTTGAATTCGATCCATTACAATGCATTACGTTATATAGTTATTGACCAAGCAAGTCGGTATATGTCATTTAATCTGCACGGCTCGGGTGACCCTACTTGACCCAAACGACGAAGGAGTCCGGGTTAATTGGTCATCCCGACCGTGCAGATTAAATAACATATACCGATTTGATTGGTCAATAGCTGTTTTAACACATGACACCATCAACTTACAAAAAATTTTGGAAATATTCGGACGATATTCAATCCCTGGCTTCTGGGAAAGTTTGTTTGTGGGATAAGGAAAGGAGAAAATACGCATTTTAGTAGTAAAATGTTGGTAACTTTTAAACTATAACTTTTTTGATATTCAGGCTTTCTCCTAAATTGTTACAGTATTTGAAGAATTGTCTCTTTGATTGTTTCTCCAACTTACTAGTTTATTTTTTTCTGTTTTGGCACATACATGAATATAAATCTGTTTGAATTCGATCCCAAACTAGTCACTTAAAAGGAATTAATATTTAAAAAGTCGTAATAAATTCCATTTTGAATATTTTGAGAAATTACAAAAAACATTAACTTTTTGACGTTGAAAGATTGTTTTAAGATTTAAATTGTACACATACAGTCGTGAAGTGTTTTCGGGAATGAGAAGCACTTTCTATTTCATAATTTGAAAGGACAGTGTATACACAAAGTTGTTAATTGATCAACTATGCCGTAATTGCCAGGTCAGTGGCGGATTCAAAAGGGGGCGAAGAGGGCGTACGCCCCTCTTTGATAATAAACAATGATTAATCCTTAAAATCGTCAAACTTTTTTAAAGGACCACCCCTAAAGATAAGAGTACATTTGAACTGTGAAGTATATCGTACATCTGATGTAGTTAATGCACACTTTAGATGTGCATTATCCAGATTAAAGCACAGTAAAAACAAAGAGAGTTTGCATTTGTCATGTGTTAATAGATTGATGAATAAATATGAAAGAAAGTGAAACAGAACGAATTTTGTCCAACGTTTGGATTATAACGTTGAATGTTTCACCACAATGAGGCAAAATAAAAAAAAAAAAAACAGTTTTTGGTAAAAGTTTACAAAATCTTCTCGTTTTCAACCAAATTTAGGCTTGAAAATCAACAAGCTCAGTGTTCGACAACTAAATAATTTAGTCAGATATGAAAGTAATATTCGGAACACCTAAAATCACCCCAATTTTTGGTGGGGTGTGTGTTGTTCAATCTTTAGTGCATGTAGTGTTTTGAAGAGATTTTTTTTTTTTCGTCGCTTTCCGTTTTTTTTCCCATGGTTTTGATAGTCTCTCTTCGAATTATAAGTTTTTATTGTTTCTTTGGTATCTTCCTCTTCTTTTTTTATCTGCTTTTCACAATTAAGAACATTGTAGGGGTTTCTGAACGCTTCCTGTTATAAAGGGTTTGACGTTGATTATAGAAGGCGGCATTGTACATTGAATTTATTCACAACTTTTTAACGGGGCGATATCTAGACGATAAGTGTATTCTGACTTTGAATGTCATTGTTAAACTCTATATATTGCTACCGTTTTGTGGGTTTTTTTTCTTTGGGGTAGGGGTGGTACTGAAATATTGTTGTTTAAATCCCATTTGCTACTAATATATACTTTGAAACAAATTATCTGTCCTCTCCATAAAATTGAGAATGGAAATGGGGAATGTGTCAAAGAGACAACAACCCGACCACAGAGCAGAAAACAGCCAAAGGCCACCAATGGGTCTTCAACACAGCGAGAAAATCCCGCACACGGAGGCGGGCTTCAGCTGGCCCCTCAACAAATATGCGTACTAGTTCAGTGAAAATGTCTCTCAATATAACTGTTTCTGTTAAACAAAAAAAAACAAAAAAACACATGCGTCACTTACCTCTTCCAAAGAGAAGAACACACATCAATGGGAGAAAGTTGGTAATATTTGTCGCCATATTTCTTTGTAACCTGTATTTTGTAATAACTTAACTTAGATACTGTAAGTCACGTCATATTCAGTACACAAATTATTATCGTCTGCTGTGTAACCTTGTAGAAGATGTCTGTAATTTCTAGCACATTTATTTATCATGTTGCTCATGTTAAAGTAGATTTTAGATTTAATATTAGAAAACATTGTATTCAGAATGTCTTTCATTTACATTTTTCGAAAGTTGATTTTTCAAGAGGTCACCACGCATAAAATAATATTTGTTGAAATTAGATTTCTATCTTTAATTCATAGGATCATAGCTGGAATATGCAAAATTACACTGCATTTTCAAAATGTAAAAGTTTTTTTTTTTGCAGTATTCAATTGTGGATGTTTCTCCCTCATTGACCCGTCCGTTTGTCAAACTGACTAGGTGATTCTGTACCAGAGCTGGACAGTATAGGTCAAATAAATTTTCAAATTGTAAAACGGGATTTCCCCCAACTTTATTTACAACATGGTAAAATGTAAAAAAAACATTTTCAACTGAAATACCAAAAATTGCAAGGGTTTCAATTTTGAAACAAAAATGGTTGGCTCGAAAAGTTTGACTTGTGCGGTTGAAAAAAACCATTGGAAAATCATTTTCACATTTTATTTGAAATGAAGTGCTGCAATTCAACAGGTTAAATGTGCAATAAACATTCATGTAAATGGTTATTGTGACCCCCTCTCATTAAAAAACAAACAAAACAAAACAAACAAACAAAGAAAAACGGCAAATATTTCTATTGAATTTTGGTTATTTTCCGGCAAATATTTCATCATGACTAGAAAGTGAAAAAAAAAACAACAATAAATATTTCTGTCGGAAGGACTAATTAACAAGTGTCATTGTGGGCGAATTAGAAAGGGTCAAGCTCAGGACCTTGGAATATATTTGAATGCAGTTCTTTACATTTTAGAAGAGTAACAGTCTCCTGTTCTGTCTATCTGATTAAACTTTCACTATCAGAGAGGACATGACTGAGCACACTCAGAACAGTCAAATGCAAACCGTCAAACGGACGCACTTCAGTAAGTTCCACGGACAAAAAAACCAATAAGGCATTAAAAAGATAATAGGATTTGCCAAAAACATAGGACAATACAACAAGATACATCAAACCAACAACGTAACACCTGACTCCTCTTGAAGATAAAAGTTCAAAGTAGGACAGACGACAATGAACAACAAATGGTCCAGAAATCCAAGCGTGGGTACACAATTTGGTGGGATGAGATTTTGCGTGTGCAGAGACCTCTCCCATTCTTATATCTTGACAATATATCATGCTTGACGGCGACCATAACACTTGTGTTGTGTCAACAAAATACAAAAAAGTGAACAATTGCAAATTGTCTGTTTGTCATTTAGTTGTATTTTGTTTTTCTACTTGATATATTGGGTCTTTTCGACTTATGTTGTTTTATTGTCCTTTTTGTATCTGCTGCCTCTTATTAACAGGTCACTGCATTATTTGACCAAGAACATACTTAGTTTTCTCGTTTGAATTGTTTTACAATGTCATTTCGGGGCCATTTATAGCTGACTGTGCGGTATATGCTTTGCTCATTGTTGAAGGCCGTACGGTAACCTATAGTTGTTAATTTCTGTGTCATTTGGTCTCTTGTGGAGAGTTGTCTCATTGGCAATCATACCACATCTTCTTTTTATAATAACCCATACCGTATAGTCAGCTGTATAAGCCTCCAGGATGTCAAAATGTGAAACAATCTAAACGGGAAAACTATCGACCTGATTTATAGAATAACGACACACAAACAAGTATGACACACAACAATGATCGGAAGCCACTGAAATACACTGGCAGGCTCCTGCATTGGAACAGGCACACACATATTCGACAGGGTTAACATGTTTGAGAGCACTCAAACCTCCCCTAACCAGGTACAGTGGTGTAACAACAGAACATATTAAGAACAAAACTATAAAAATCAATAGAAAAGGGACCGACTTAAAAGATTGGTACTTAATACTCACAATGTTTTTTAAAAACCTTAAAATACACTATGTACTGATCTTAAGGTATACTCGCAATTACTGAAGGCTTATCCAAAGCACAATTTCCACACCATTGTTCTCCAAGACTAAAATAGTGATCAGTTCATAGTGAAAAGACGTTATAAGCAGTCTGAGAAATGCATGACCTTATGCAAAAATGCAAAAATATTGTCCAATTTTTCTTGACTTTTATATATATTCACAGTCACACTTTTCTTTTGTGCAATCGATAGTGCACAATTTGGACAAAAAATGATTCGGACTAGCGCATTAAACACTCTCGCTTTTGAATATATGACGTCGTCCGGCTTTTGAAAAAGGATGCCTGTTCAAAACATTTTAATAATAACTACGTTGTTTAGAGAACCCTTTACTCGGTTCCGAAATTCTTACTTGGTGTCAACTCAACGGAGAAAGAAACTTTGATATCATAGGCTTGAATGAACATCAAATATCGATCACAAGATAGCTATATATTGTATTTAGCATTTAAATTTCTTAAGACTAATTTAAATCTGTTCAAACAAATCTGCATGTGTAATTTTCTTATCTGTTTATCGTGAATCCTGTAAAAGAAGATAGTTTGTTTCCCTCTAAATTCCCCATACCATTAATCCTAACCCATATTTTATCTCCTATATCCATCGATACAACACATGAAGTTGACGAAGAAACAGATACAACTGAAGATGCTACAATCCGCCCATTCTTTACTAACTCCGACTGCAGAGGTGTATTTTCGTGTGACTGGACTGTCCAAGAGAAGAAATTGAGACCAGAATACGCCGCCGTAAACACTCCAGTCCCACCATTATAGCAGTGACCAGTATTATCATCAATATTATCAAACCGTATTATTTGTTTATTGCCGTAACGAATGTCACCTGCTGTTAACGTACAGTAGAAGGAACAGATCCCTGAAAATAGATTCAGTGCATAATAAATATGGTGCTAAATACCAGATTAATCAATATACTAGTCTACTTCAAGATGTATTTTATAATTACTGTCACACAAGAAAACCAATTAGATATCAATGAAGCTGTACTGCTTGTTTGCAACTGTATGAGCTACATTGAAGTATCCGATTAGATCAGGGGACGTAACAACTTCAGTATTGGTTAAAATTAATACCCTTTCTCATATAAATTCTCTTTCAAATTTTCAAATTGATTTATCTTATAATGTCAAATTAATGACCGAAGGAGATGGTACGATAATAGACATTTTTTATTAACTGTGTATTTGCGTTCAGGTGTCACAGGTCAAATTTATTCGTTCATTGTGTGTTAATTTACGTTTTTTGATTGAGTTAAGCCTTCCAATTGATATTTTATAGTGTGTTTTTCTATGTTGTGATGTTATACTATTGTTTCAGAAAAGGGAGAAGGTTTGGTACCATTACAACGTTTAATCCCGCTGCAAATGTTTGCACCTGTCCTAAGTCAGGAATCTGATTACAGTAGTTGTCGTCTGTTTATGTAGTTCATACTTGTTTCTCATTTCTCGTTTTTATATAGATTAGACCGTTGGTTTTTCCGTTTGAATGGTTTTACACTAGTAATTTTTTGGGGCCCTTTATAGCTTGCTGTTCGGTGTGAGCCAATGCTCCGTGTTGAAGGCCGTACCTTGACCTGTAATGGTTTACTTTTATAAATTGTAACTTGGATGGAGAGTTGTCTCATTGGCACTCATACCACATCTTCCTATATCTATTAATACAAATTGCTAAAAATGGAAAATCTTTGAAAACTTTGTAATATATGTTAATTCTAATGATACCTGGATGAGATGATAGTGTTTGGTCACTTTAATGCAGAAATTTCAGTTATTGTGAGAACAAATAAAGGTCACTATAGTCACATTTCACAAAATAAATTATTAACAGAGAGATATGTCTCGTATGTCTATAATTTTGTTAGTTTAATGCAAATATTGAAATTAAAATGGCAATACTTTAGCATGCAAACAATGCAAAATATTCAAACATGTCAAAGACAACAAAATATCTATGACTGAAGGTGCAGGGGCTTATAATCTCCGTTGAAATGAAGAACGAAAATGATAATACAACTTCAAACCATATACCACTGCTTTATTATAAGTGGTTCTCCTTACACTGACCTAAACACGTCAACTTTAACATATAAACTATGCGAAATTTTAAAGGCAATGTCAATGAACATTGACCTAGGGAACGGGACCATATAATCTCCATGGAAATGAGAAGTGCAAATCATACAACTGCATACCAAATATCATTGACTTGCCAATCGTAGTTTTCCTTAAACTGACCTAATCACAAACTTTAATATGTAAACTACGCAAAAGTTTCAAGATCAAAAGACCACGACTGAGTAGACTGGGCCAGATTTGCATATGCTTATACAACATCATGCCAAATATCATTTCGCGTTTACTAGGGGTTCCTTTTAAACTGACCTAATCGCAAACTAAAATAAAGATAAGAAGAATATGTGGTATATTTGCCAATGAGACAACTCCCCACCAGAGACCAAACATAGAAGTTAACAGCTATAGGTCACCGTACGATCTTCAACAATGAGCAAAACCTATACAGCATAGTCACATATAAAAGGCCCCGAAATGACAAATGTAAAAAATTTTCAAACGGGAAAACTAACGGCCTGAGTTATGTACAAAATAATGAACGAAAAACAAATATGATATACAGCAACAAACGACAACCACCGAATTACAGTCTCCTGACTTGGGACAGGCAAATACAGAATGTGGCGGGGTTAAACTAGTTTGAAGGCGCCAACCCTTCCCTAACCTTGGACAGTGTTGTTACAATACAACATAAGAATAAACTATAAAAATCAGTTGAAAAGGGCTTAACTCATCAGATCAATACAAAGCAGAAATACATCTAACAAAAACACAGACCGGACGTGGCAGGGTACTTATACATCCCCACAACAAAAAAGACACTAAGTACAGACCTTAGAGTACTACATGTAAACTGAGCAGACAACTTACGTGATGTATTTGAAGCATTT